TCTCCATTGTCCAAAAAGAGACGTGCTAAAGATGTTGCGAAGCATATCACAACAAAACGGATCAAGTGAAAAAGTGTAATAAGAGACGATTCCTCGGAGAACGAAGTTGTTCCTGATACTCCTTTGGTTTCGACTCTTCCTATGGTAACTTCTACTCCCATAACTTCTTTAGTTTCGGATGCTTCTACCATTTCACCTACATCAATTATTCCACTCGAAATAGTGGTAACCAAGTCAATTCACGAGGAGGTTCCTATTTCTAACATCATTGCTAACGTATCTGATACGGGAGCAAATGTTACAATGAGTGTTGATATTTCACAACCTAATATTCTTTCTTCTTCATTACCACCCATTAGTTCTACTTCGTTTGGTTCATTACCACTAATCATTCAACCCATATCTACTTCTACTTCATCTCTATTGTTCAACACTACCCTTCAATAGCCTATTACTACTTTTTTTTCATCCCAATCCATAGAAACACCCAAACCTCATCCCAATGATGAAACAGAAGGCGGAGGTTTCAGAGGAACTTTTGACGAATTGCATTTTGATTTGGAAGAGGTGGAGATTCATGATCATATGTTAATGTTAGGAAAGCAGTTTAAAATCTTGAATAGGAAGTTAAATTCTATTCTTCAGTCCCAAGCTGATTCTGGAGCAAAACACTCACTTTCGGGTATTGAAGTAGATGTTATGATAAAAGCTGTTGAACGAAGACTTCTTGAAAAGATAGATGAATCTAATCATAATAATGAAAATCGAATAAGGACTCAAGGAGGGAACTTTGAAGGAGCTTTGAAAGGATTGAAATCTATTGTGAAGGAACGTCATGTTATTTTCGTAAAAGATGTTAAAAAGGTTCTAGAAACGTCAACTTGAAACTGGAAGAGTTGAAGAAGGAAGTTTCTCAGGAGATTAATAATCTGTATTTTTGGTACAATTCAATTTAAGAGAAGGTCAATATCATTGTTGAGGTAGTTACAAATTTTATCAAGACTTTTCAAGATATTGTGCTACAGTACGAATCCAAAGCAACTGACGACAAGGATCAGTTTGCGAAGTTGGTAGAGTTACTTGCTGACTTGAAAACAGTTGTATCAAAACCTGCTAAACAGTCCTTTTTAACTTCTGAGTTTCTTACTCAGAAGTTGAATGTGCTTGATCAAGTCATTCAGAAGGCTATTTCTCCCATATCAAAGTTTGCTCAAATGTTGCCACAGAATTCCCGACCAGTTGTCACAGGGGTGCAAGGGGGAGAAACGAAAGTGAGCAAAGGGACAAATGCAAATAAAAAGGGAGAAGGTGAGAAGAAGACAACCGAGGATTCGAAAGTTGTTGGAAAGGTGATTTCTACATAAATTCCTATGTCAATCCCAATAAAGTTAGACCCAATCTCAACAACTGTCATAACCACAAAACCGATTATGAAACCGAAATGGATTGTGATTGGTTCAGCTACAGAGGGGGTTGGTTCAAGTTCTACAAAACCGAATCTTGATTTGAAAGATAGAGGGAAAGGTGTTTTAATCAAAAAGTTAAAAGAAGAAAAGAAAGCAGAACTTGAGGCTGAAATCGAACTTCAGAGACATATCCAAAGTATTTTGAGGCTAAGGGAAAATGATCCACCTGGTATGGACAAAGGTGATCCCAAGAAGCTATATTCGTATGAATCAATCGAATCGAGAGTTGCATTCAATCATATGTATGCTTTTGAGAAGAAACCGAGAAAGAGTTATTCGATTGCTAACACGGATTTTAGTTAGTTGGACTTTCCGATAAATGAAATGATGTTTATCACTGCACAATACAAAGTCAGTGAGAAGTTCAAGAACCCAGATGATTATACACACATGTAAATTCGTTTTCATGTTGTACTTGGAAAAGATCAAGATGAAGTGTGGTCCCTGATCAAGATCAAGAAAGTTACTGATATTAAGAAGGATGTTATGTTCGAAAACATGATACAAAATTTCAGGTATTTTGTTGTTCGTACAAACAACAAATCAGTCGACTCCAGCATTGTAGACTTCCCTTTAATGAACTTGAATGATCTTATTCAAGTTGCATTGCTTTTAAAAGATATGGTAGAAACTCAGCTCAAGGAAACAGATCCAAATCTTTTTACGAATTGGTCTAGCACATGTCAAAATATTCATTGATAATTACTATGACTGCTTGGCATTAACTGACGAAGAGTTGGCTTCGAGTCTTGGAAGGAAGGTGGAAGTAGCTATGGATCCTTCGAAGTCACAAGCTGAGTTAAAGAAGTATGCGGATGGAGAGATATGTTTGAAACCATTTGGTTTAGTTTTTGCTGGGAAGGATACAAAAGGGAAGGCTAAAAGGTTTCTATTTCAAATTGCTGAGATCGAAAGGTATACAACGTCGCAATATACGAACTTTATAGTTCGTAAGAACAATTGCACGAAAAACAATGAAGGTGACAAAAAGGAGTTAAGAAAGGTTTTAACATGGTACTCGGAGATACGAAGGATGATGCACATCGCTACTCAAATTCAATTCTTACAAACTGAGTAGTTCGACTCGTTTACAAAGGGGGAGATTGTAAGGGGTCGAAATCTTGTAAAGAGTCGAATTGTCTATTGTCAATTTCGTATGTAATATATTTGCTAAGTCACTTTCATGCGAAGCTTAATAGTCTTAGACTTAGCATTTTTTGTACTCTCTGTATCCCTGTAAATAGGGACCATACTTAGATTTATAGATACGAGTTTTCCCACTTCGTTATGTGTTTTTGTAATCGAGCTTATTGAGAGTAATACAAACTTCAAAGTCTTATTTACTTTCTAAGTTCATTACATTGATTGTTCTTGTTCTTAATCAATTACTCAAATAGAATTCCACTACAACAGCACCATTGATTTACGCTTTTTTCATTCTTTTTCCGGATAAGTCGTAAACAAACATACCCTAAACATGATAAATGATGATTATAACACAAAAAGAGTAAAAATCTTACCATGTTTTCGGAAAAGTACATACGATTGTCCATTGCTTCCTCTCATAGATTTGAGAGAGTTTTCCAAACAAAAATCAAGAAAAATGAAGGTTCTAAAAAAATTAAAGAATTTATATTTTGAAAAAAACAAAAATTGCAGATTGTCGTAGATGGATGGGGTCCATCTGCAAACGTACAACTTCCAATACACGCCCATACTTTAAGTGATTGTACATTCCCAGATAGCTAGGCGAAATCACAGATAACCCTGGTGCATCTGTGATTTTAGTATATATTTTTGTAATTTTAATTTTTTGGTTATTTTCTGCACAAAAAAAAAAAAAAAAAACTATACTTATAATTTTCTCTTATATAAACTTATTCATTAAATACCATTATATAAACTTAAGCATTAAATGGCTTCATCAAATATTAAAGAAAAGGATAATGACTTGAAAGGGTAACGAACTTTTGACTTTTGTCACATTTAGTCACTAAACTTTTTTTCGTAATCTATTTGCCATTGAACTATTGAAACTGTTCACATTTTACCCTTATGACCGGCTGTTACCGGTCATAAGGGTAAAATGTGAACAATATCAATAATTTAGTGGCAAATAGATAATGAAAAAAAGTTTAGTGACTAAATGTGAACAAAATCGAAAGTTCATTTCCCTCTAAAAAGTTCAATGACTAAATGTGAACAAACTTCCTATTGTATTATGTTTTAGCAAAATTATTTATTTTTGTTTAATTGTAACAACATTTGTTGATGAAGAAATCTATGAAATAAAAAAATAAAATGTAACATCCGGATTTCCAGGTATCATCACTTAAGTATTTTTCTTTTGAGTTAAGAAGAGAGACTCGACGAGTTGACGCCTCAACTCGTCGAGTAAGGTCGCGACTGATGACTCAAATTAATGAATGGACTCGACGAGTCGGTGAGACGACTCGACAAGTTCGCGCTATTGGCAGAAACCCTAAATCTTTGGGCTCGAGCCAAATTTAAAGGCATTTATGGCCTTCAATTGTGACTACCTTTCCCATAAGTGAGAACCCTAGCGAGCTTGAGTGTGTAGAGTGAGAGGAAGAGCTATCTTGAGCTTTTTGGTGTGATAGATGTGGACCCTTCTAGGTTCAAAGAGCCGAGAATATGAAGCTTTAGTAGAGTAAACCTTGGGGTTCAAAGTTAGGAATCATTTATGGTATATATAATTACTTTAATCTTACACATAGATATGAATTATTTTATATCAATTACGTGCTATGTGTGTATATTATTTGAATACTTGCTGTCTATACTGGATGAACGATTTTATACATGTTTTAAAAGATTTAAATGGTATATTTATTTTATATCTACAAATATGTTGCGGATGAAACATGGGTAGATGAAATAGTTGGTGTGTGATGAAATAAAATGATGAGAGATAGGTGATGATAGAAAGGTGGTGATGATTAGGTAAATAGATGATGATGAATATGTGATGTATTCATATTTAGTCACTAAACCTTTTTTCGTTATCTGTTTGCCATTGAACTATTGAAACTGTTCACATTTTACCCTTATGACCGGCAACAGCCGGTCATAAGGGTAAAATGTGAACAGTTTCAATAGTTCAATAGCAAATAGATAACGAAAAAAAGTTTAGTGACTAAATGTGACAAAAATCGAAAGTTTGTTACCCTTTCAAGTCATTATCCCTTAAAGAAATTCATAGGCACCACACTAAAAACCTTAAACGAAGAAAACACGATGCAAACTACAAGTTCAGAACAAACGAGACTTCTTTGATCGTAACAAATACAAATATTTATTATAATAAATATATAAATACAACAAAATAAATATCCAAACTCCATAAACACCTCGAACTCACACACCAAATCTTCACATCATCTACCCTTTAATCACTCGATACTCCTATCATCCACCTTCGAATCTTTATTACTTTCTTGAAACGTCGGTACTTAATAATCCTACATGCATATATAAAAACTTACAGCATTTAAATAATTTAAATATGAGAGTTTAATTATGAGGTGGCACCGGTATGAGAGGATGATGGAAATGTTTCGGTGGAAAGGTGGGTAGCGGCGGAAGCTTCGGCACTGCAAATGGTGGGCATGGTTTCTTATAAAACGGCGGCAAGATTTTTGGATGCGGCTTGTAAATCGGAATCATTGGTGGCAATATTTTCGGATGCGGCTTGTAAATCGGAATCATTGGCGGCAATATTTTCGGATGCGGCTTGTAAATCGGAATTGGCGGCGGCAAGATTTTTGGATGCGGCTTATAAATCGGAACCATCGGTGGCAAGATTTTTGGATGCGGCTTATATACCGGCGGCGTAGGCTTCGGCTCCGGCTTGTATACCGGCGGCATTGGCTTTGGCTCAGGCTTGTATACTGGCGGCGTTGGCTTCGGCTCAGGCTTGTATACCGGCGGCGTTGGCTTTGGCTCAGGCTTGTAGACCGGCGGCGTCGGCTTTGGCTTGTAAACAGGCGGCGTTGGCTTTGGCTTGTAAACAGGCGGCGTAGGCTTTGGCTCTGGTTTGTAAACCGGCGGTGTTGGCTTGGGTTCTGGTTTGTAAACCGGTGGCTCCGGCTTAGGTGTTGGTTTGTAGACGGGAACCGGTGGCGGACATGGCTTTTTGATGGGTATTGTGGGGACAGGAGGGAGGATCTTTGGTGGAAGCGGCGGACATGGTTTTTTGAAAATGTGGCCGAATTTCTTTAACCAAGGGTGTTCTTTTGGGAACGACGGTTTTGGGATAGACGGGTGTTTGTATCCCGGCCAAAAGAAAGCGGAGGTGCAAACCGCCGATGAGAATTTAAGTTTTCCGTTGGGTCCGAATGTGTGTGTTTTATCGGACTTTGAGAGGAAACTAATTTTAGAAGCTTCTAATCCACTGTGAATTGCACAAGGTGCATTTGCTGCATTGTGGAGTTGTACGTAGCATTCTTCACCCAACTTTTCATCTTTTAAGATTTCTTGAGGAAGAGAGATCTTGAAGTGTCCTTCTTCGTTTAACTTTCCAACCCCTCTTGTTTTGAACTTACCATCTTGAAGCTTGCAGTCAATTGTCACTTTTAGCCCTGAATTAATGGAAATAAATTAATCAATAAAAGTAATTCACGTTCCTACTTTTTTTTTTAAAAAAGTTTTCACGTTAAAAATCAGTTATGTGTCAATTGTTATCATATGAAAAAACAATGATAGTAACTAGGACCAACAAATATTTTTAGTTAGCTGTAATATTTTTTAAATGTCTCATTTTACGATTTGATTTATTTCGTATGGAATGTTTGAGATTGGAACAAAATGCATGGGATAAGACTTAAAAGACAAAGTACCTGACACTGCATGGATTGTGTCGATGTTATTCTCTTTACAATCAGCACATTCTCCAATACCAACAACCTCTACATTCTTGGCATTACCATAACACAAACACCCAGAAACCAATAAAAAAAGCAAAAGAAAAGACCCCCTCATCGAGAAAAAAGACTTAAGAGTCTCAATGAGAACACATAAAATGAAGTGAACTAGCTTTCTAAAAAGCCTTGTGTTCGAGTGACTATACTTCAGTAAGTTGCTCTTATATATATAATGCATGAGAGAGCTTATAAGTTACAACCCACAGTAGTAAAGAAGCTCACATGAAGCTAAGGGACCCACACACTCTCTTAGTAAGATTAAACAAAAAGGCTACGCCAGCCCATTGTCGATCATTTAATGATCTCTCAACTACACCACATATTTTTAAGCTTACTAAGCATGTGAAAGCAATATCTCCACCAACTAACCAAACTTTCTCATTAATACCTTGATTTTCCTTTCTTATTTCTCAATGACAATGGACATGAGTAACTAGATTATTTTAACAACCCATTAAGCCATTACACAGTTATGTAAAGTTTTACACAGAATTGAAATTAACTAGCTAGGCATTATATCAAACAGTTGGCGGACAATATAACCAAGCATTATACATGTAGCTTACCTAGCATGTGAATGCAATATCTCCACCAGCTAACCGATACTTTCTCATTAATACCTTGTTTTTGCAACCGGTTAGACAATGATTTTTGCAACCCGTTAGAGAATTTCGTATGCTTCACACTGAAACCAGCTAGGCATTTTATCAAACACTTGGCGACTACATAATCTTATGAATCTTTTTGACAGAAACGAGTCAGCCAAACATAAAAAAGATCGATAATTTATTCAACAATTGAACATTTTCACATCCCAATTACGCCAGGAAAACGGAAAATGTGATACAAACCCGAAAAGGAACTTGACATTAGGTTTTTACAGAGTAGATTATTACCATCAATGAATGATGCATGTTCTGACACAACCACGGATCTTTCAATGTCAATTGTTAAAGAACTGAAGAACCCATACATACGTAGAGAATTTACAGAGTGATCAGTAGTTATTAACCCACTTGATTGCAGCCAGGAATGTTGACACTGACAGACTATATATGTATGGGTCCGCAATGTGTACATGTATAGTGTTCATATGTCCCTTTTTGTATTTTACTTTTATGAAAGTTTAAAATCTTTACAAATGTTCTTATGTATATATGTACTTTTTTACAACTGTTAAAATAATTTAATCGAGACTTATGCAAATAAAGCTATACCATTTTGGTCTTAAAAAACGATTCCGACCATCAACTACTAACTATATACTTAACCTTTTTTGCAATCTAATGAATGATTTTTTTTTTTCATAATAAATTAACATGTGATAATATTGGGAAATGTCTGGTTTCTGATTATTGACAAAATCATATGAAATTGCATGTGAGATTTTATCATTTCATTGTGCTTGATTAGCGAGTATCGGTAAGTAATAAGTAATAAAAATCAACCGCATGCGAGATTCCATCATGTGATGCATTAAATTATTTCATTAGAAATCTAAAAGCATCCAAAATAGAAAAAGTTTTTAATTAAGATTTCTGGTGTCACATTACCTTACTGTTAACTTAATAAACTAAAGAGTTTAAGTTGTCTCCACTATAATGAATATTTTTTCACAAATCTTATTTATGGATACCCTCAATTCCAATTTATGTCATTTTTTTTATATAAATCGGTACAATTGACTATGAATGTAAGATGTAGATATCATTGGCCCAGAGTCGGTTATGTTTTCCAGCATATAACCTTCTTTTTCATCAAAACTATTCCACAATGTCAGTGTCGGAGGTCTTTCTATATGACATTAAAATTTTATAAAATCACATATTGTTGAAAGTAAGTGATCTTGTTTCTTACGTACTCTCAGATTGTTATCCATGATGACATCTCTTCTTGCTTGATCTAATCTTTGGATTTGGTCCTAGCTTGGGATTCATCACAATAGCTTTGAGAGTTGCATAAGTATGTGCATGAAAAGTAGAGTTTTGAATTATAAAGTTCTGTGTTTGCAATTTTTGTTTTATTTTAGTGGTTGTCATTTTCTGCATATTTGTGCAACTCGTTGAAAGGCATGAATTGGAATTTACAAGGGAGCACTGATAGAGTAGGTTCAATGTATTAGTTTGTTAAGCACCCACAAATATAGCTGGCACGATATCGAGGTTTTGCTTTTTGTTAGCACGACATTGGAGATGTAGTGTCGTTTATATGGTTTGAAAGACTACGCAAAATAACAAAGATGGTTGGTGTAGATGAGGGTTGTCACCTTGGTGCCTATTTAAACGATACGAACTTGAGATGTGAGGAACATTTACAGCCATCAATATATTGAATTATTGATTAATGTTATTTCATTGTTTCTATTATGGCTAGCAATCTGCCTAATAATAGCTACATTATTCAAATACACAATATTTCCATTGCTATAAGTAGATTTTTCAAAAGTATAATGTTTTAATATAAATTTTATAGCAGAAAAATGTGATTTTAAATAATTTTGTAGTTTGAACAACTTACATAACTATACCATAATTATAACATTATTATTCAAATATAATGCACTTTCCATTACTATAACCATGTAAATTTATGAAAGCACGACGTGTTAACAAAAACTTTTTAAGTATAACGGCAATTTATTATTATTATTATTATTGTTATTATTATTATTTGGATTTTGAATTCTAAACATTCTACCCAGTTATAACAATATTATTCAAATATAAAGCATTTTGCATTATTGTAATAAGGTTGATTTTTCATAGTGTGACGTCTTAATATAAAATTTAAAATATACAGTGCTTTAATTTTAAACTAAAATGGTATACTTTTAAATATTTTCAAAGTAAAGTGTGAAAAATAATATCAAAATGTTGTAGAATGAAAGGTGGTGTTATAATACAATTATGAATTTACTATTTAGGGTTTATCAAAATTCATAACTTCACTCATTGTCAAATTTTTTAATACGAATCATTCTTATTTTTTTTGGAAACGGAAAATGATTAAACGGAAGCCTACTCGTATATTTCAACGAGCACTCCGGGTTCGAGCTCATTTACAGGGCAAATCTAGCCTCCATTGGGGTTTCCAGGGAAATTTTCCCCACACGCGACACAAGTTTAACAGACACCCAAATTGGGTTTTGCAGGGATTGAACTCCCGGCCTCTGACCCCACGTGTGTATTAAACCCGAATGATTCTTATGGTTTCTAAACTTGCATGTCTAAAACTTACATAAATAGTCTGTGAACTACATAAGTTGACTTATTTGTCATTTCTAAATTTCTTTTATCTTTTTCTTAAACTAAATTTAATTATTGAAATTAAAAAAACTAACAAACCCTTACCTAAGCCACCCGACTCCCACCTCCAATTTGTTCTTCCCGTCTCTCTCTGGTTCACTCTTTATGTCTCATACCTATATGTTGATTCCATTCCCCCATCGATTGCCCTAACCCATCCTCAAATTAACGCTCCAAAAAACCAAAGTCTCTGCTTCCGTTTTTTTTTTTTTTTTTTTTTTTTTTTTTTTTTTTTGTGGACATATAATCTTCTAATCATCTCCATAATGACTATTGGTGTCAGAGTCGCCTCTTTCTCCTCTTCCTGCCTCCTCAAACCATAATTGCACCACCAACACCACATACTTTACCCCAATTTGTCATCATCATCATGTGTTCAACCATTAAATTCATGTAGGCTATTATACACTTACCTTCCTCTCGGTACATCTGTCACATCCAAAAAATTTACGCCAAATTTAAACCTTTTCAATCATAAATAAAACCAAATAGTATTTGTTTACAAAATGTTTTCAAATCATTATTCATCAGAGTGTCCCAATAACTATATCAAAAGGATGAGGAGCCGTACGGTCATGCCTTTGCCTTGCCATGATCTCCTGAAGTACTTGAAACAATAAACTTAAAACTGTAAGCCCGAGGGCTTAGTGAGCTACCCCCAAAATACTAATACCACGCTGATAATACCATACCAGTAACAGACAATCAACAACATGCATACTGGGCCATCGGTCTGACTGGACCGCCCTGCAGGGCCTACAGTCCATTTGAATCTGTCCCGAGCCTTCGGCATGACTGGACCGCCCCGTGGGCCTACAGTCTCTCTGGACTGCTCATAGGGTATGTTGGCCTTCAGCACAAAGTAGGACCGCCTCAACCCCGCCAACAAGCAAATAACCATGTGCGCATAACTATCACATATTGGCATATACAAACATCAAACATAACTATCTCACTGATCAACAATCATATAAATCTCTCTTAACTAGAGCACCGACCTAGCATGTCACTAACATACCAATCCCTACGGATCATAAGAGCATAATATACTGTCTATCTTGATTCTGATGTAACAGATCATAACCACATGTAGCACATCATAACAGTAACAACTTAAGGGACGGCCTTGGTGCCGTAGACCTAATTGATATAATGAGGATAACTCACCTTGCAGATGTCGACTCGGTAGATGAACCCCAATCCTCGGATCACTGTCAAAAACTCCACCACCTATTACCATAATATAATCATACCCATAAGTTCCCAAGCTTTCAAGGTACCCAAACAGCCAACTAATCAAACCCTGGTCCAAGTCAAATTCATCAGTCAAGGCCATCAGTCCATGTTGACCCTAACTCGCCGAGTACCTTCGGCTACTCTCCGAGTTCCTTAAAGTACTTGTCCACTCGCCGAGTCACCGGAGTGACTCGTCGAGGTCCTTTGGTTTACGATCGAAAACCCTAAGGTCACTCGTCGGGTTCCTTCTTGCAACTCGACGGTTACACACGCATACATAAATTGGGGAAACCTCAACCGACTCGCCGAGTTGTTTATACAACTCGTCGAGTTCTATGGCAATCTTCATCGGACTCGCCGAGTTGTTCATCCAACTCGTCGGGTCCAAGCCTATCTTCATATGACTCGCCGAGTCGACCTTGCGACTTGTCGAGTTCCTTTAGTCCTTAAGCCATACAGACTCTTTTAATCCATACAGTGGCTACAAATTACAAATCCAAGCTTCTAAGGCATTTAT